ATCCTCACCTCAGACTTGGAGATTGAATCTTGATTAGTCAAAACCAATCTAGAAGATCTCATTTGCTATGACTGGCTGAGAGATGGGGATGTGACTTAATTATGCTCAGTGAACAGAAATCTGCTAAGGGATGCTGGGTGAGTTCCCTCATTAGAAAGAGATCTGGGTATATATGTTGTTAAGTTTGGATGTGATGCCTAGATTAGCTATCGCCATCTTAGGGCACTGAGGGAAGCCAGACCTGGGGAAAAAGTAAGGCAGCAGATGACAACAGGGAACCAAGTAAAGAACTTTGATCTTCAGTCAGATTTGGTCCATTATGTCAACAAATGTCCCCTTTTCCCTGTATCATGCTTGCTGACATTCCTCGGATTGATGAAAAGTCCTCTATACTACCATGACAGAAGTTTTGACTTTTTCTGACCATATGTGAGTGTATTGTAGATAAGATGCTGACTTCATCTGGTTTCGACTATACTCAATAACCAGTAAATCACTTTCCAACTGTGGCATTCTGTTTTTCAGTGCTGTGTGTTCAATTCTCTGAGATCTTGATCTTTCTATATTTATGTTTCAGAATTTTTGCCATAGAAGAAGATTAATATTCAATGTACAGTTAGTACCTCTTGGAGTATTTCTACTCATAAGATCAGCCTCATTTCAAAAAGCAGAGAGCTTTTGTGAGTGCTAATATCCTAGAGTTAGCAATTAGTTATCGTCTCCCATCAAAATTTAATTTTAAAACTTGTACCAGGATGTGTTTACATGGCCTGAATAATTTACATGAAACACACTTGACAAGTGTTAAACTGAGCAGTATCAATGTTTGAAATGCCCATGTATTTATCAGCCTTGCTGGAATCATTCCATCCATATTGTATGTGACTTCATGTGATTCCTCAGCCTGAACTCCTGTCCTGTCCAGCTCATCTTTTTTTTTTTTTTTTGAGACAGAGTTTTGCTCTTGTCACCCAGGCTGAAGTGCTGTGGCATGATCTCAGCTCACTGAATGAACCCTTGAACTTCTGGGATCAAGTGATCCTCCTACCTTAGTCTCCTGAGTATCTGGGACATGTATACCACCATGATTGGCAAATTTTTTATTTTCTATAGAGACAAGATTTTGCCACGTCTCCCAGGCTGGTCTTAAACTCCTGAGCTCAAGCAATTGCCTGCCTCAACCTCCCAAGTGCTGGGATTACAGGCATGAACCACCATGCCTGGCTTATTTTGTTCTTATTACAAAAGTAGTATATTGTCATTGCAGGTCTTTTAGGAAAACAAAATCTAACCATTTTAAACATTTGGTTATGTAACTGTTAAACTTTTTCTTTTTTCTTTTCTTTCCCTTTTTCCTTTTTTTCTTTCTTTTTCAGCATATTCACTATATATATAAAGACTCCCATGTAAAAATGAGGAAATTGGGTTGAAATAGTTTTGCTATCTGGTATCCTTCCTTTATTTTTCCTTTTCACATGTGGATTTCTTTCCACATGTGTTTACTTTCAAAGGTTGCATGGTGCTTTATCATCTGTAAGCATCATAACTTATTTACTCTATTTCTTATTTTGCTGTTGATGGAAATGAATATTTTCTACTTCTCTGCATAACAAACAATATTGAAATGAAAATATTGATCCACATATTTCACACTGTCCCATCATCATCTCCCTGCCAACTCTAAGAGAATCAATTTAAAAACTGTTAGAAAAATAAAAGTGCTGAGTACAGTGGTCAGTTACAAAATGAGTATATCAAAATCAAGCTTTCCTAATATACCAATAGGAATTAGTTAGAAAATTTAATAAAAAAGAAGATCTCATTCACAACAGCAACAAAAGAACAAAATACCTAGCAATAATGTAATAAAAGTGTCTAAGACCTATGTGAATGGAATTGTAATATTTTATAAAGAAAATATATGGGGAAATAGAAATAATTGTTCAGGTATTGAAAGAAGCAGTAAGAATGCAAATGTTCCTTAATCTATTCTAGCCACCCAGTCCCCATTGGAGTTTCAATTGGATGTTTATGGAAAAGAGAGCAAGAGTAGATTGAACAAACACACCTGTCTCTATTCCCACCCCAAATTCCTAGAAAGAATACAAAGCATAGATTTTAAAAATAAAATCTGTAACAGTGCTGAAAAACCAGAACAGATCCTATAGATGGATAGACATATATTATAAGAAATCCCTGAAGTAATTTGTTCAGATTGGATTGAAATAGGAAACCGACTTTCTAAAGCATGAACAGGGTAGTTTTTCTACACAAAATAGGAGCAGTGTCGGGAGAGTTTCAAAATCAGGAGTTTCCAGTAGAGGAGTAAGAGGCTCTGGAATAATTCTCAGAATGACAGTGTGAGGTTCTACAGAAGGAGAATCTGGGAGAGGCAGCAATGCTTGCTCCCCTCAATTGTGCCAAGCAACAGACAGCAGAATGTTTCCCCCGCAGAAACAATGAATGGGACTTGGGCCTTAGAGAAATGATAGTGGCTTAGGGTGTTGATAGTGCATGAGAGGGAGGGTCCCAATATTAATAAGACAGGCCTGTCTTCCCAAGCCACACTTAGTATCCACTGGGGGATTTGTTCTAGGATTCCTGTGGATACCAAAATTCATACATGTCCAACCCCCTTATATAAAATAGCATAATATTTGCATATAACCTACACATATCCTCCAGTGCAATCGGAATAGTTTCTAGATTACTTATAACTAATAAAATGTGAATACTATATAAATAGTTATAATTTATTTTTTATTTGTATTATTTATTCAGAATATTTTCATCTGTAAATGGTTCAGTCTACAGATGTGGAACCTATGGATATGGAGGGTCAACTGTACAGTATTCTCAGATAGTCTAATAGAGAATCTCAAAACAAAAGATACACACTACCAAGATTCATTAAGTTGTTGGGAAAACTAACATTATGAAAAAAGCCATTAGAATCAACAAATAGAAAAATGACCACCAGAGATCAGAATTAATAAAGAAAAGAGAAAAAGAATGCAAATATATTTTAGAATCTTCTCATAAGACTCAGCTTAACTTTACCTTATTCATTTAAGTATGTGCATAGTGTTCTAGAATGTGTCGTATAGTGTTTCATCCTTATCTTGTTGAAGGACATTTAAGCACTTTCCATTTTTAATTATTATATGCAATGTGCAAAGATGACTTACGTGAAAGCCTCTTTGAACATGTATGTGAATATAGCCGATAATTTCAGAGGAATGTGATAAGATACTGAAACCATTAAAAAAGTAAACTAGCCACATGTATTTCTTGAAGAGTAGGCATATCAACTATTCTGATAAAAAGTATTTTGGATGACATTCTTTAAACTTTGATGATTTTTTACATACTAATCTGACCAAACAGTGGCCTAATCAAATAACTTTAGGAGATATTTGCAAATATATTTTTTCTTGGAGGAATAAATGTTACTTCTTGGAGGAATAAAATTAAGCATTATTAAAATCTTATTTTGTTAAAGGCAAGTGTCTTATTACAGATGCCTCAAAAATTTTAAAGCTATGAGTATTACAACTATATTCCATGAAGTATTCAACATGGAACAGAATTTGGGGTCTCATTTGCTTAGTCACCCATGATATAGAGTTGATTCAAAACCATTTTCTGAGGAAAAGCTTGACTGGCTCTGCCTATGGGCTAATGAGAAAAGGAAATCCTGTGAGTTACACAATTCTCCCTGAGCTGTTGAGTTACTTCCTTTCTTTGGAACATTGTGAATTGTGTAGCTGGCCTGGTTTTCCCTTCCTCATTGGCTGCTCGCCACATTGTGGGTCACAATTTCACACAATGATGCGTGTTGTAAACTTCATTCCTGTTCTCTATTTATGTCTTCCTTTTTAGTTCCTCTTTTGCTTTACTTTTAATTTTTGCTGTTTCTTATATTTTAATGTCTCATTGTAAACTGTTTTAAATCACTTCTGAAATAAAGTGTTATAAAGATACATAGATAATATGAGTTGTGGCTAAATAAAAAATATATACATACAACGTGCAGGCCAGAAGTTATATTTCTTAATGAGTTTAACACCTAAAAAATATTTTATCTTGAGAGACTCTAAATGTATTATAATTGATGTTATCACTAACCAAAACATCTTTGAAATTTCTTTTTTAGGTTTTCCTCCCCACCTCTTGGCACAGTTTGTAAATGTTTGTAAGATGTTGTGGATCATGATTTTAAGACTTTGTGGGTCATAGTGGTTTTTAGAAAACAGCCCTAAGTATTTCATGGTAAAGCCTGCTAACCTAAATGGCTCAGTTAGCTGGGTACTCAAGTTGACTTTTCTTCCAAATATATAGTACATGTACATAAAGTGATACGACAATTTAAAAAAATGTACTTAATAAACTGGCAATGGAAGTGTTTTTCAAGGTACAGCTTCAGAGGAGTTTGTATGACTGTTGGCTTTGTTAGGGGAAGGACATGCCCTTTGAGGAAGTCCATTAATTTGGATGTATTTGTTCTGATGTGTTTTTTTAAAAAGCGTCTCACCACCCCCACCCTACCCCCACAATCAAGAGAAAAGGAGAAGGTTCAGTAAAGTGTTAGTCATGGTAATTAACACATCACAAGAAAAGTACATATAGACTCCCACTCATTTTTGGGGAATAGAGAAAATTGCTTAGGATCCTAGGCACGTCTAGTCGTTCTGTAATTCACCTACAATACAGGAGAGATGTGCTTTTTGTATATTCTGAGAGCATAGGGCTTCAAACCTATATTTCCATTGCTAATAGTGGTATTATGTAGTTATTTCTGGTTGGAAAACCTGAAACCATTTTGCCCCTGGTGAAGGACAATGTTTGAAAATCTGCTCATGATCTAGTATTTTAACTGCAGCCCAGCTTGTCTCTTTTGCTGAATGTTTTATGTTTAATAGCACTGCTACAGCACTATGACATCATAGAATGTTATTATTTAAAAAGGCCTTAGAGATTATCCAGGCTGTAGGGGTACAGGTAGGTATAGAACTGTGAGGCACACTGAGGTGTGTCATTCAAAGCCTCAATGCTTTGAATTGAATCTGTATGCCAGGGTTGAAGTTGCTTTAAGAACTACAAAACAAACTAAAGGTAATTAATATTGAGAAAGATTACTTAAGAGGATTCCAAATTCATCATAGACAAGCTTAGGAGACCAGTGGAAGAAGAGATAGGGATTGCCAGGACCTGAGACAATCATAAAAGTGACAAAATAATTTGTGGAAAGTGTCCTGTGTCCCCACCCAAATCTCATCTTGAATTGTAATCCCCATATGTCCAGGGAGGAACTTGGTGGGAGACGGTTGACTCATGGGGGCAGCTTCCCCCATGTTGTTTTCATAAGTTCTGATGGTTTAAAAGTGTTTGGAAGTTCCCCACATGGCTCTCCCTCTCTCCTGCCACCATGTAAGACATGACTTGCTTCCTCTTTGCCTTCCACCATGATTGTAAGTTTCTGGAGGCCTCCTCAATTACATGGAACTGTGGGTCGATTAAACATCTTTTGCTTATATGTTACCCAGTTTTGCGCAGTTCTTTATAGCAGCATGAAAACGGACTAATACATGACCCAAGATGATTTCTATGTCTAGGTTGAAGGATACAGATAATTAGACAGTGAAATTCAGATACAGTCATGCAGCAGTTCTTGTGAAGAATGTGGTAAAACATTAAAGCAGGGAATGATGAGTGGAGCATTGCTGGTAGAGAGTCTTTTCTATGCAGATAGATTGCTGAGTTGCATGTAGAGTTTCTCCTGACTAGGTTGATCTGGAGTTGCCCAAAGAAGTGCTTAGCACCCATTTAAATTAGATTAAGTAGAATTAAGAGTTGTCCTGTGGCACCAACATTACAGTCTCTTGATGCAGGGCTATAGGATATATCAGAAAGAAAAAAGGAGTCTAGTGGGCAAGATAATCTAACTCACTAATTTTAGAGTTGAGAAAACTAAGAATAAAGAGGTGACTAATAAAAATGAATCAAATTGTTGGGGCAAAGCTAAAACCATTAGTTGGGTCTCCTTCTATTTCTATTTCTTCTTAAGGATGTCTATTTGGAGCAAGAAAATCCTCTTTGGTAACTATCCCGAGGTTCAAAACTTCCTGGACTTATTGTTGATGGCTTCTCCTAGAGACTCTACTTTGTTGTGATTTCTTTAGAACTCTCTGTAGCATTTAAGAACTGCAACTACTTTTTCTAATTCTCTGTAAAAGAATTCTGCCTGCTGTGATGCTGCTCCCCTGAGGGGTATATTTCTTTTTTTTTTTTTTACAAGGTGAAAAATTATGTACTTTATTTACACAAAGATGCACAGAACACTTTTATCTTTCAAAAGTCACATTAAGACAATTGGTTGTAATAAAAGCATGCTATATGAACCATGTATTCTTCAGGATTGATTAAACTGCAGGCTGTTTACTGCTTTTAGGTTTAGTCCCTGATTGACTTGAAACATAGAGTTTCAAGTCCCTGCTGCTTGCACCAGCACCTGTAGTTTAATTACAAGGGCAGCCTGTGAGAAAATTTCAATAGACGTATTTCTCACCTATATTGCACGTTTTTCCCAAGCCCTTGTGCAAGTGTGTGCCATGTGTAACTCTATTTACATGTAAATGCTGCTTTAAAAGTTTATCAAAATTCTTAAGTTTTTACAAAAGGTTTTAATATTCTTCTGCATTATATGCAATGTTGCAAATCTGCAGAGTAGTAAAACTTAGAGCACCTTTTGGTTTGCACCACTTATTACAGAAATGGGGATTTGTGAAAAGGACGGAATTTGATGTAGAGGGGCAAAGCCCTTTCGTGACTGCCATTCAAGAGTATTACTTAAAACCATCTGAAAGTTTATGCTAACCTCTATATTTATACTAGGGACCTGGGGAAATATCCATGACATTGAAGTACCTTGAGTGTGCCTTTTAAATATGAGCATTACTGCCAAGAATGTCCTATAAAAGTGCATAGTTTAATTCTCTAAGGGTTAAACAGCCATACCTTAACCCTTAGAGAAATAGCCATAGGGAAACAATCATTTATGTGGGAGAACCATGGGGGAAAAATCCAGCATTGGGACTCCTTTTTCTGGAGTTATGAATCAATGTTTTACCAACTGGTCTCACTTGGAGGTAGGTCTGTTTTCCCCTTTTTGAAAACTAGGGCTGCTGCTATAAGATTCTACCGGCCTTTTGCAAATCGTCAGGGATGTGCATAGCCATCTAATGTAGTGCCTGGCATATAACTGCTTATGCATTAAAACAATTGAAAGCTACTACAGCTTTTCCAATGTATAGGCCAGGAAAGCATTTTGACTAGTGTATTTTAAGACTGGATTGTATCAGGTTGGTGTGAGGGGTATATTTCTGAGCAATTATCCTGTCCATCCTTTGCCCTCCTGCTTTATAAACATCAGTGAAAAGGGGCTATAATTAAATAGGAATGAAAGCTGATTAACTCTCACCTATCCTTTTCAATGTTTTGTTTTTGAGTTGAGTCTCTAGTTATTAGAAATTTACTTTTCAAAAATATCTCAGTGGCATTTTCTTTATTTCTAGAAGTATGTGTGTGTGTGTGTGTGTGTGTGTGTGTAGGGGTGAGGAATGTGGTATAGTGGGAGGAGATAACTGGAGAAGAGGGAAAAGAAGAACCACAGTGACTTCTATTGTTTCTTTCCTGGCTCTTCAATATTGGGCCCTGAAAAACTATTGATAGCCTGAGAGCACCAATTTTAATATTAAACAGACATGATTTGAAATCCTAGCTGGATGAACATGGGTAAGTCACTTAACCTCTGTACGATATTTTTCTTCTTTTGTAAGATAGAGCTAACAATGATGCGTATTTCTTAGGACCATTGTGAGTATTGAATAAGATAAATGAAAAGGGCTTAAATTAGTGCCTGGCACTGAATAGGCACTCCATAAGTGTTAGCTATTATTATAATCTTCTACCTTGAACAAGTAGACTTGCTGCACATTTAAAAAATGTGTTTGGAATATTGAGTTTGGCAAAAAATAGAATATATTATATGTTTCACTAGAGCAATTGAAATATAGAAAACATAGTGAATGCAATAGAATATGTGGGCATTTGGCCATGAAAGATTCATAAGACTTCATTTGGGTCAGGTAAAGATGCTCATTTGATTGGCTTTCCTGCTATAATCTGCATGGAATTAACACAAATTGGAGCAGAGCCCAGTCTCAATGACTTTCTTAGGGACCACGTCGATGCTGTACTTTTCTCCCCTTAATGAATTTTATCTCCCCTTCCCACAATGCCATTGCAGCATGTGGCCTGAACTGGAGTTGCCATCTTTTAAAATGTCTCCATTTCCTGGGCATGAGAATTGTTGAAGAGTAGGTCCTTACATTGAACAAGAGTAGTCATATTTCTCTCTAAAGCAGTGGTTCTCAATACAAGAATATTTTGCTACCCCACAGTGAAAGACATTTGGCATTACAAACAATTCGTAATTGTTATGATGGGAATGATTGGGGGGGTGCTATTGGCAACTACTGGGTAAGAGTAAACAATGCTGCTAAACAGATTCAATGTCCAGGACAGACCTCACAACAAAGAATCATCCAAAATGTCAATAATGGTGCTGCTGAGAGACTTCACCCTAAATACTTTTTCATCAGCAGCTGGTAGTTGGGGGCTTTATATCCCAAGACAGTGATATTAGAGAGTGATGTTTCTGGGACCGTGTCCTTTACTATGTATAGAAATCAGTGTAGAGAGAAGAAAGAGAGAGGCTTAACTTTAAGTCCATCATGCTAGTCATTCTTAAAGCCAGTTTCAATTTCTTCTTTGTTTAAGGTTAATTAAGTATGTTATTTTGTTTAAACTAGTTTAAGTTTTTGTTACTTGTAACCTAATAGCTCTAATGCACTGAATATGTATACTGAGTACAACTCTGCATCTAACTTAATCGAGGATAATGTAGTAAAATTTGAGCTACTTCTTCTGTAGGGGTTGTTTCAGCATTGCCATCTAATAGCTCTCACCCTTAGGCCATTCAATCTCTCAAGCTTTAATTTCCATCGAAAGTAAGTGTATTAATATGATATATATAGATATTAAGAGATTTTATCTGAAGTGCTGAGCATGATGCATAGAATAGGGTAGGTATCTAGCCAATGTTAACTCTCTTCCTTTGCATTGTTTAAATATTTAAAGAATAATTTAAGAGTAATACTTTGGGGCATTCCTTGATTGCTTAATTTTGGATCTATTGGAATTTGGAATTTTTGATACAAATCTTGAGATTTATGGGGAAGTCTGACTTGAATTATTGGCAACTGATATAAAGGATTAAAAATGTTGAAAATGTAAAATGTTTAAAATGATTAAAAAAGAAATCTACAAAGCTTGTGTGTAGTTGTGGCCAAATGAATTTGCATTTTTTTATCTGAAGATTACAGTGAGAGAACTGACCAACTATGCAGGATAGTGCCTCCTAATGTTTAATATATTGATAGTAATTCCTACTTTCCATGTCATTCATAGTTTTTCGAGTATCTAGGTAGGCAACTTGATTCCTTTCGTTTGTTTGTTTTTGAATGTGTTTAGCTAACAGAGTTCCTATGCAATTCATATTTAACTAAGTTACTACATCTTTCTTTTTAATGGCACAGCGTCTTTGCTCTAGTGCTTTATGGTCAATTATGAGTAGTCATCTGAGAAAGTAAGATCAGATAGCGCCAAATGGCTTCATAGAAGAGACTCACGAAGCTTTGCAGCTAGAATGAAAGATAAAAGCCTGGCAAGAGAGTAAGCAGGAATAATAAGCTTCGGTGTAGATCTAATGACCTAACCAAGTTTACCGGAATATATGAGGTAAAAAATACGTGGAATTCCCGTAAGTATTATTTTATGATGAATTTAAATGTTTGATATAACCAGGTTAGCTGGGTATATTTATCTTAAGCCATGAAGCAATATGTTTCAAGGTTTGGGGTTTCTAGTGGAAAAAATCTTGTTTTATTCATTTTGAATGTGAAGTTAAATTCTGCCCAAACAGCCCCTGTTTTGTAGGTATTTTTTCTTGAAAATCTGTTCCCTTTGTGAATTTACAAATTATAGCTCAGAGGCCTAAAATGTAAATTTGTAACAGAAAGTAGCTTCATATAGTACAGTAATTTGGGGACTTTATTTTTCTTTTTAATGTCACTAAGGATTGTGTTTTGAAATATTTTTTTCTAACCTGCATGCATTAAACAATAAATAATTAGTTCCATCTGAGTTCTTACTGGCTTTACATTTTAGCATGGATCCAGATTTAAATGAATAATCCACATTTACCATCATATTATGAAAACACATAAATCATTACTTCAGTTATGGTGCTACTACATAATGAAGTTATACAGGCAATAAGCATCATTCATTGCTTTGGGTAACTTTAGCTGTCTCTGCATTTTAGTCCGAGTGAGCAGATTCTACTTAGATAGGGGTGTCTTCTTTACTTAATGGCTCTTGTGTCAGAGTCAGATCCACCAATCATATTTCAGGAAATTCTACCCTGAGGTAGCTTGTTATAATACACCAACTTCTTCAATCTTTTTCAGAAACTTTGTGGAGCTTCTGGCCAGCATGAGAACATCAGTGTGACCATACTGAATTTACATAATTTCAGGTAAAAGCAAAGAAAGATGCTTTTTAAATTTGTCTTCTATACTTATGTTATTAGATTTCCCTTCAGATCTCCAGAATTACTGAAAATGACTTGTAATCTTGTACTTTTCCTCATTGACTAACTGGGACTCTACACTGAATTTCACTGGTGTCTGAGAAAGAACCAAAAAGAAACCTTTGAAGACTGTGGTTCTCATTCCAGCCCAGGTATTAATAAGCTGGAAGGTCTATGGCATCATTTCCTACCTGCGAGCAACTTTAGTGCCACCAGATGTAAACATAAAGACTTTGAACTGAATGACACCACTGGGTCACTCAAAGTACTAAAAAGAGTTTATTTTACCATGAGATTGCTTTCTAGGGCTGTAAATCCATCGTGAAAGCTTCATGTATAATCATATTCTAAGAAGAACTTTTTGTAGATATTTTGCTAGCTCTAGATATCTTCATTTATTTCATTATATTGTGGAATATCACACAGAAAAATGACAAGGCCCAAATTCTTTAAAGAACTGAGTGTAGGAGGAGAAATTTCCTCTCTTACAAATAGTATATCCTGAGCTAATCTGCTTTCATTTATAATGCTGCTCTTAATCTCTTTGGAAATGGCAATCCATGGAGTCTGGTGAGGATCTGTTGAAATATTTCTAAACATTTTTCTGCTTTTTATATGTAGGAGACCATGGTTTATGCTATTTTTATTTTTTCTCAAAATATAGGCCATCTGCCTCAGAATAAATCAGTGAAGTTAAAAAAATGCAGATTCCTCAAAGTGTGACTGAATCAGATGTTTGGGAATCTTTATTTTTAATAACTTATACTAAGAAACACCAAATAAAGTACACAATAATCTTTGTTTATTGAAACTGTTTTGGTGCATTCTAATAAAAGCATTATTTTTTATTGAAATGGATGATGCATATTGGTGAAGCTTCTTGGAAAACCATGAAAAATGAGAGAGGAAAGATACCAGTTTTCCAACAAACATCTATCTGCCCCTGGTGTAGTAAAAAAAAACTTTCAATAAAATTGCTTGAAAAATGATTTTAGCTACTATTTATACACCTTTGCCACTTGCTAAGCATCATGCTAGTTATTTCACATAGGCTATCTCCATTTAGTTCTCTCGACAACACAGAGTTAGATATTAATTTCTTCATTTTACGGGTGAGGGGATCTAAGGCTTATGTAGGTTAATCAAAGTGGTTTGCAAAAATTGCCACAGCTAGTAAAGTAGTGAGGCCAGGACTCATTTTTATAGTAGTAGTCAGACTTGAATCCAGAATCTGTTTTACTGTGTAATTTGTGGTCTATTTTACACGTTTATGGTGGAACAACTAATAAATGATCATTGTTTTCTTCTACATACACTCCTGGTATAGTTTCCATTGATCATGTGATGACAGGTACCAGCTTCAGAGGATCCTGCTGTGGTGGTGATCAGCCTCAGGGCAGCCACCTGCAGTTGCTGCTGCTCTGTCTGTCGCTCCTGCAGCTTCCATATTGTCTGATGTGGCTCCAGTATTTCAAATAGCCTTAACATAATTCCCTGCCCTCCCTGTTTCTATAATCCTTTTCTGTTTCCTCTATTAGAGTTGTTTGGGATCTGGTCATTTGTTCTTTAAATTGTCCTCATAACAAACCTCTTGCCTCCTGAGAAAAGGAGGAGAGTATCAGAAGTGGGTGGCATTTTGACAGTGTGGGCAAAACAAGAACAATTTTATTTCTGGCCCAAAGTAAATTAAATGGTTCTAACATAATCTGAAAATATCTTCTCAATATGACTTTCAAGGTTGGAGAATGATATTTTGATTATCTGTCCTTGATAAAGTCTTCTGTTTATATACAACCAGTTAATGAGAAGTTTATGGTTTTAATTCTCATCTCAAGCTAGATAAATGAACTTGATTCAGATGAGACAGACACTTTGCACTCATCACACAGGGGATTCCAAAACTGCAACGCCTTGATGCTTTTTCTCTTCATAACAAACCTCATTTGTGTTGTGTTGACTTGACTTGAGGAACTGTATTTTCTCCTCAGTGTTCTTCTGTTTACATTTGCAGTAGATTGGATTGTCGGCAGTTTTTTTGCCCTTTGTCAGTAACTTTGCCATTTTTTCCCCTTGACTTTGGACTTCGCCACGTGACTTGGCTTGGCCAATGGGAAGTCAGCATATGTAATACAAGAAACACGCTGGTATATGTGCGATTATTTTTGCACCTCTGCCGTCTCTATGGGAAGAACTTCCTCTGATGAGCCCGTGATCTAAGGAAGATTAGAGAGAAGAAGAGCAGCCCAGCAGATCTGCATTACGAAGTAGAGCCATTGTAGCTAACCCACAGAGTTTAAAGAATATAATAATTTTAAGACACTAAATTTTAGAGTGGTTTGTTACACAGCAATAGCTGACTGAGGCAATATTTTTCAAATCGATTTTTATGGTGCAGCCAGCAAATCACTAGATAAAGAAGCCAGAGTTTTGAATTTTTATCACTGTTCTACCACTACCACTATGTAAGTTACTCACCTTCTTGAATTTCAGTGTATCCTTATTGCTAAAACAATTGCACTGAGGCAGAGGCAGAAAGCATAGCCTTATTCAGTTCAGAATATCTCTGATGTGGAAATATCACAATGTTGGTATTGGAGTAAAACTTCTCACCTAACTCAATGAGTGTGCCAGCCTTCTGATATGAAATTTGAATTTTCCTTCAGTAGGAAATACACAGGTTTTTGGAACATTTACTGATATAAAAGCAGAGGCTTAGTGTGTATGTATCATTTTATTTCTCATCATATGTATCCGGAAATCACCACAGCCATGGATGATATTTCCATCAGGCCTTATTCCTTTGTTTATGGTTTATCAGTTATTAGAAAAATCTAAATACAAGGGATTATTGATTATGCTGTTTCGGATAGAAAAGCCCCCATCACTGTTCTTTTTACCTCAATTCAACTAGTTTCACATTTCTGTTATCAAAATCTGAATGCTAAATTGCTTTCAGCTCAAAACTATTAGCTAATTAGATTTGTGCTTCACTAACGGAAAATTTCAGAGGTGGAGCAGCCTTTGGGCATAAACTGAGGTCCTGAATCTGTTTCTCTGCAATTGTCATTGCTTTACCTTCCCTGTGTATTGTGTCCATCCCCAGGGTAGCTTCCTCATGGTCACATGATGGTCACCAGCAAGAACTCATAGAGGCATGTGCCTCTATGTCTCTATCAGCATTTTGAAGAACATAGCTTCCCATGACTATTTGAATACAAGTCTTTATCCTCTCTCTGGATGGACCCTTTTTAACTCAATCACTCTAGCAAGAGATATAAATTTTGTTAATTGGCTTAAATCAATTGGGATCCTTTCTGGAGTTTGGGTCCTGTCAGTCCTATTCAAAATCACATTGCTGCTATACAATGGGGGTACTGTGGAATGAACATTGGGGAGTAACTACACTGTCCTTTGCAAAGAAAAGTATGTATGTTTAATTTATTTCAATGTGTGAAATTGCTAAACGTGTGTTGTAAACATTCATCGAAATAGTTAACTGAACTAACTATTCAGATAAGAACATTTTGGAACCAAGTGCTGCAAGAATTTAGTTTTGCTGAATTTCCTAGAACTTCCTAAGGTTAAGCCTTGTCACTGATATGACTCATTGAACTTGAAAATGCATTAGGTTATGCAAAACATTGCTAACTTGTTCAACAAAATGCAGGAAAAAGGCTGTCCTCATCCTCCTTTGGCAGATTCTTTCAAAATCAATATACTATCATATTTTGAAGACTTGAGTAACAATTTGTTGGAAAGACAACCATAATTTCCAAATAGATTCATTAATTTAACAATCCTTATTTATAATTAACTCTTTACCAGACTCACTCATACATGCTTTGAAAATATGGATCACCAGTTTTTCTGTAGCTGCTTTAAGGGGTCTAAATTATTAAGCTGCTTAATTTAAGAAGACTTAAGCTAAAGCATGCCTTGCCCACAGAATAAATAAGGGGTCCTAAAATTTTAGAAATGAAAAATTTGAATCTTGGAACTTTTATAATTGCTTTTATCAAGTGGGCCAAGTTTTTTGCTATATTTGAGTCCTCTTGACTCTATGGAAGCACATTCCCTAATTATAATTTCACTGAGAAGGATACAATCAGTGTAGGACCAATGAATTAGAACAGAAGCATACCAGGGGAATAACTTTAAGTTGTATGAGAATTGTTTACTCTGCTAAATATTCAATACTATATATTCCCCATAAATATATACTTTACTTTGTGTGCCTTGTATACAATATATTCTTTTTTTTTTTTTTGAGACGGAGTTTCGCTCTTGTTACCCAGGCTGGAGTTCAATGGCGTGATCTCAGCTCACCGCAATCTCCGCCTCCTGGATTCAGGCAATTCTCCTGCCTCAGTCTCCCGAGCAGCTGGGATTACAGGCACGCACCACCGTGCTCAGCTAATTTTTTGTAATTTTAGTAGAGACGGGGTTTCACCATGTTGACCAAGATGGTCTCGATCTGTTGACCTCGTGATCCACCCACCTTGGCCTCCCAAAGTGCCGGGATTACAGGCTTGAGCCACCGCGCCCGGCCTATACAATATATTCTTTAAAATTTATCCGATTATTTTGAATTGATCCCATGCTTTTTAATTCTAACTTTAATATTTTCGATCTAAAACATTAAATGAATGACAATCCCTAATATACTATCCATTAGTATGTGTCTATACACAGCCCTATTTTATTTTTGTATTTAAGAATCTGTAAAACTGACACAGAACCCCAAAACTGATTCATTAAATTAAATCTACTGTGTGCTCCTTCTTCACAATATCTCCCTGTTTTACCCCAAGAGGCAATCACTATCTTGTTTTTGTGTTTCTCGTTTCCATTATTTTATATATATATACACATCTGTGTGAAGATGACTTACTTGCTTTTTCTTTGATTCTTTCATCTTATCAGGAAGAACAATACTTTCTTTTTTGAGATGTGGTATCTATTTATTCATTTATCTATTTTTATATATATTTAAGATACACAACATGATGTTACGGTGTACATAGACATAGTTAAATGGTTACAACAGTCAAGCAAATTAACATAAACATCACCCTGGCATAGTTACCTTTTCTTTGGTGTGGTAAGAGCACCTAAAAGTCTACTCTCAGCAAATTTGCAATATATCATAATGTAGTAATAATAATGACATATAATAATAATATAATAATGACCATATAATATTGTTATGTACTGCATTCCACCCTGGGCAACACAGCGAGACCCTATCTCAATCAATCGACTGATCAATCAATCAATCAGTTAGACTTCATGTGATATTTTAAGACTAAACATTATGGCCCTGGATTTTAAAATGTTAAAATCTACTAACTTGGGTAAAATTGAATTACATAAAAGCTTAAGATAAATGTGTTTGTATAACCATATAAGGTTTGGGCACATATATAGTTTTCTTAAACACTGTTTTTAAACTTAAAAAAATAGTCTGGAAGCTGTGGCTCACACTTGTAATCCCAGCACTTTGGGAGGCCAAGGCAGGAGGATTGCTTGAGCTTAGGAGTTTGAGACCTGCCTGGACAACACAGTGAAATCCTGTCTCTAGAATAAATACAAAAATTAGCCAGGGATGGTGATACATTTCTGTAGTGCCAGCTGCTTGGGAGGCTAAGGTGGGATAATCACTTGAGCCCAGGAGGCAGAGATTGCAGTGAGCTATGACTGCACCACTGTACTCCAGCTTGGGCATCAGAGCAAGACCCTATTTCAGTAAATAAATAAGACTTCATGTGATATTCTCAGACTAAACATTATGGCCCTGGTTTTTAGAATGTTAAAATCTACTAACCTGGGTAAAATTGAACTATGTAAAGCTTAAGA